TTTTTTAATTAAAAAAAAAAAAAAAATTAAATTTTAAAAAAAAAAAAAAAAAAAAAAAAAGAAAAAAATGCGATTTTCTGTAGACTAAAGAACAGATTTAAAAATCCCTGTATCGGCACACGCGCGTACCTTAAAATTTCATTCCATCCATCTGTATCGTATTTTATCGACACGACACTTGTCACCAAACTCGCAGTTTACTCAATAATAATCATTCCTCCCCTTCGTGGAAACAAACGAAGTTATATAAGAGAGTGTACGAAAGAAGAAACTGTCTGAGCGTGTCTCAAAGTTTTCCGCGACCGTGTCTGGCCAGCCAGTGAAAATAGATAGAAAAATGACGGTATTGTTTAAGATTCTCGTCACAGGCGAGCGAGCAAGTTTCTTGCGCGGATCGTTGTCCGATTTCTCATCGCGTCCGCTCGGAGCCTGTGGAAGAAGAAGCCGAGAGAGAAAGAGAGAGAGACGATCGGCGTCTTTTGAGAGGCGACGAAGAAGGGACGAGAGATGGAAGGAGAGAACGCGCGTGCACAGAGGAGAATCTATGCTCATTAGACATCCGGTCGCTACTGTTTCACCGTGGACGAGGACACCGCGCTAGAATCTCACCAATTCGCATCCACCGGCTAAATCCAGCCGCGCGAGTCGCGCGAGTTTTCAACGCTTGCATGCCGGTCATCCAGGTTAACGTGTCACTCGATGCCCCATTAGTTATCGGAGCGAGTGGATTTCCTTCTATTCGAGAGTGCGGAGGATTCGATCGCAGAGGCGACGACCTGGATAATCGACCAGCGAAATTTTCTTCGAAAGTGTGTGTATATGCTCGCATCTCTCTCTTTGGGAGAAACGCGAACGTCGTGCGCGATCGCCAGGTACTAAACTTCCCTTTTTCAGTTCGGTCTTTCTTTAACCTCGACGCACGTCGACGATTTTTGCCAAATTGCAACACTTTTTCTGTTTCAAGTATATTTAAACGTAATCCAGGCAAAACGAACGACGAGTTTATTACCTTTTTAATCGTTTCTATCCGGTGATGTACGCGCCGACGAGTACAAAAGGAAACGAAAGCGACGAAATTGTTGTATACGAGTTCGGTCACTCGTTATGGTCCGCGAAACCAGTTGACCAGCGCAAGGGGGGTTGAGAAACTGGAGCTGTCAGAGTGGCCAAACTGCGGCCAATTTTACTACCTCGTCGTTTATCGATCGACGTAGAAAATTCTTGCCTCGAATGATTTTTGGCTCGGAGAAATTTCTTTTGTCTGTCTTGATTCTCATTTGGAAAATTGAAGAATCCGTGGACGCAGAGTTTGCGAAGCGACAGAATAACTCTGCGAGCCTTGACAATCGTAGACGCCAATCTTATCGTTGCATATTTGCTTCGAAAAACAGATTTAATATGTTCTCAACTTACTAGGGTCTTCTTAATCCAATTTTTAATCTAGAAATTGAAAGAGATCCAGGAATAAAACTCTGGTGAAATTATTGTTCTACAAAACTTTGAGAATTCCAAACACCAATCTTATTGTTGCACGTTAGCTTCGAAAAACAAATTTTAATTAATTCTATATTCTATCAATTTACCAGGATCTTGTCAATCCGATTTTATAATTCAGAGATTGAAGGAAAATAGAGAACTAGTGAAATCATTGTTCTATACATTTCTGAGAATTCCAAATATTTTACCATTGTACATCAGCTTTCCGAAACAAGTTTATATATTATATCACTTTATATCACAATATTCTATGGCATAATATTTTATTCTACAACTATAGTATTCTACAAATAAAGAATATAACATGAATATAATATGAATATTGTTTTATTTTTTCGATAATTTTACAATTAAAATACTTTAATTTTGTAATTGAAATATAATATTATATTATAGTTCAATTACAAAATAATACAACTATAATATCACTATAATATTATATTGTGTTTTACAAATAACCGTTATTTGATTTTTTTGATAATTTTATAATTAAAATACTTTCAATTTTGTAATTGAAATAATTTTCGCCGGAAGGAAGCAACATTTCTGAGAATTCCAAATTTTCTATCATTGCATGTTAGCCTAAACGAGTTTAATTACATCGCTTTACATCACGATATTCTACAATGTAATATTTTATTCTATATTTTATTCTACAACTATAATACTATATTATATTTCACAAATAACCGTTATTTGATTTTTTTTGATAATTTTATAACTAAAATACTTTAATTTTGTAATTTTCGCCGAAAAGCAGCAACAATCCTCAAAATACCAAATTTCCTACCATTGTATGTTAGCTCGAACAAGTTTAATTACATCACTTTATATCACGATATTCTACACAACAGAATATTTCATTCTATATTTCATTCTACAACTACAATATCACATTATATTCTACAAATAAAGGATATAACCATTGTTTTATTATTTCGATAATTTTACAATTAAAATGCTTTAATTTTGTAATTGAAATATAATATTATATTATAGTTCAATTACAAAATAATACAACTATAATATCACTATAATATTATATTGTGTTTTACAAATAACCGTTATTTGATTTTTTTGATAATTTTATAATTAAAATACTTTCAATTTTGTAATTGAAATAATTTTCGCCGGAAGGAAGCAACATTTCTGAGAATTCCAAATTTTCTATCATTGCATGTTAGCCTAAACGAGTTTAATTACATCGCTTTACATCACGATATTCTACAATGTAATATTTTATTCTATATTTTATTCTACAACTATAATACTATATTATATTTCACAAATAACCGTTATTTGATTTTTTTTGATAATTTTATAACTGAAATACTGTAATTTTGTAATTTTCGCCGGAAAGCAGCAACAATCCTCAAAATACCAAATTTCCTACCATTGCATGTTAGCTCGAACAAGTTTAATTACATCACTTTATATCACGATATTCTACACAACAGAATATTTCATTCTATATTTCATTCTACAACTACAATATCACATTATATATTCTACAAACAAAGGATATAACCATTGTTTTATTATTTCGATAATAATTTACAATTAATACACATTGGTTTCATAATTGAAAGAATACCCGCCGGAAAGTGGCAGAATCCACTCGTAGTCCAACGCGAAGCTGAACGGCTCTCAAGATCCGAACGAGGATCATCCTGAAGGAAATTCGCGGTGAAACGGCGGTTGTAACGGCGGTGTATCGGGGGGGCGCGTCGCCCCGACGAAAATCTCCGACATTTACGGTACCAAACGGGCAATAACGCGCGCGGAGCCCCGGCGCGAACGAATCACGAAAAGTGCGGAGTAGAACAAAGAATACAGAATGCCGCGTGGATGGCGGAGATAACTGTCGAAGATTAGAGCGCCGCGGTTATCGCGGCGGATGGGTCCGTCGAAAAATCCCGCCGGTCGAACGATCGTATCATCGTCCATTCGGAACGGTTTCCGTGGGGGTACTCACGCCGGCACCGCGGAGGAGTAAGAGGTCCTTCGGCTTCTCACGATGGCGACGCCAGTCTCTCTCGCAGCAGCAAGATAACCGGAATACAGGTTTTCAGCGGATAGAGTTGTGCCGTGACGACGAAGACGACGAAGACGACGACAACGACGACAACGACGACAACGACGACGACGACGACGCGAAATGGTAGGGAGTATACCGGTAGAGATGCTAATGTCGGCCTTGTGCCACATACCCGTGCTCCTGGTGCCCGTCCACACGCACAAACACCACTATCGCCGGTCGCGAGTATCGGGACGGAGAGCACGCGGTCGCGCGAAACGCTCTCCTACACAGTCTCTCTCTCTCTCTCTCTGCCATAATACACATGTGTGTGTATGCAATACGTGCAGGTACGTTGCATGCGTGCTCGCGATCGAACGCACTACGCTACGCACCGAAACGCATCGCCGGTTTTGTCCTCTCTTCCTTTCGGCGTCGCCTACATGGCGTCTCTTCTACATGGCCCCGAGACCTCTGCCCGGGCCTCTGACATCCGAGAGTGTTGAAAACTCTCTTCTTTGTGATGAAAATGAAAATAATGTAATGAAATATATTACATGTCATATATTATGTTATAACAATAAAATAATAAAAGGTTAAACGGAGCAACATGGGGTGATAGGGTAAATCAGGTAATAGAGATATAATATAATGAAATATATTATATATTATAACATAATAAAATAGTAAAAGGTAAAATAGGGTAACATAGGGTAATAAAAATATAATATAATAAAATATATTATGTGTTATATATTATATGTCATATTATAATGTGTTAAAATAATAAAAGGTGACATAGGGCGATAGGGTAAATAAGGTAATAAAAATATAATAATATAATAAAATATATTATATATTATAACATAATAAAATAATAAAAGGTAAAATAGGGTAACATAGGGTAATAAAAATATAATATAATAAAATACATTATATGTTATATATTATATATCATATTATAATGTGTTAAAATAATAAAAGGTAACATAGGGCGATAGGGTAAATAAGGTAATAAAAATATAATATAATAAAATATATTGCATATTATAACATAATAAAATAATAAAAGGTAACATAGGGCGATAGGGTAATAATAATATTATACGTTATATATTACATATTATATTATAATAATAATAAAGTAATAAAAGGTAACATAAGGTGATAGGGTAAATAAGATAATAAAAATATATTAAAATAACAAAAGGTACAGCGTATACAGTGAAATGATGAATATGTATAATATGATTAAATACAACTTAAAATAATAATAATAAGAAGAATAAAATATAATAATAATAAATTAATAATAAGAATAAAACGAATATAGAATTTAGATATGCGACAGGTGATGATCGTTCTTATAAGAATAAAATATAATAATAATAAAATAATAATAAGAATGAAACGAATATAGAATTTAGATATGCGACAGCTGGTGATCGTTCTTATAATAAGAATAAAGTATAATAATAATAAAATAATAATAAGAATGAAACGAATATAGAATTTAGATATGCGACAGGTGGTGATCGTTCTTATAATAAGAAGAATAAAATATAATAATAATAAAATAATAATAAGAATGAAACGAATATAGAATTCAGATATGCGACAGGTGATGACCGTTCTACACCTCGAACGAAAACTAAAGAAACATACAGATTCATTTGCCATCGATCTAAGCACCAACAAGCACGAAAACACACCGCGTACATCATCCTATTCGCCTCCAGAGCCACGTTTCAAGGCGCGCTAGACACACGAGAGCATGAAAAGGAGGAAGGGAGGAGCCTCTTGAAAATTCGGCGACGTCTCGCCCTTCCACCAGCCTAAAGCAGGCTTTAGAGATAGGTTTCCCCGAACGAGGACGGAAATTAATCTGGTGCCGATCGATCGATTGCTCGCCTCCGGACTCGAGAACGAGAAATTGGAACTCGCGCGTCAATTTCTCGAGACGAAGGCTCTATCTTTGGGAGGAAAGAGATCGATGTACGCGGATGTATCGGCGAGCATTTTTCCTCGGTTCGTCATTCGATCGAAAAGCCTTGAATTACGTAAACGTCCGACAGGATTCGAAGGGGAGGAGGTGGCGCACACGCTCGCGCCGAAGAGAACGAGAAAAATCGTCAAACAGGCCTGGCGAACTGGGCGGCCGCCTGGCTGGCTAGCCGCGGCGTAGCATTATCGCCAGCGTCGATCGCAATTTCATCGCGAGCAAGAAAGAAGGTTAGGCCATGCCTCGGTGTGTGTGTGCGTGTGTGTGTGTGTGTGTGTGTCGCGCGAAAATCGCGTGAAAAACTAGCTGTCCTAGAAACGAACTGGCCAGTCAGTGGCACAAACCACTCTTGACACGAGCGCGCGCGCGCGCGCGCGCGCTTACCTTCCATCATCTTAGCCGCAATACGCGTCTAATCCCGGGACTCGAAAAAAGGGAATCATCCACGAAATTCGATTTCCCGACGTTCGTGGTTTCCAAATTGTCTGACGTCAGCTGAAAAAAGAAAAAAATTATTATTTCTGTTGGAAGGCAAGGAGCAGGATAGCTAGAATTACTATTAATATATATATATATATATATATATATATATATAATAGTTACTATATATTATATATAATACACTATACATTATAGTTATATATATTATAAACGTCATAGTTGTATATATACTATATATTATAGTTATATATATTATGTATATTACCCTATACATTATATATACTATATATTACAATTATATTACATATTACTATATATTACAATAGTTATATATATTATGTATATTACCCTATACATTATATATACTATATATTACAATTATATTATATATTACTATATATTACAATTATATTACATATTACACTATATATTATAGTTATAATTATATTATATATATTATACTATATATTATAGTTATATATATTATGTATATTACCCTATACATTATAGTTATATATATTATGTATATTACCCTATACATTATAGTTATATATATACCATATATTACAATTATATTACATATTACACTATATATTATAGTTATAGTTATATTCTATATATTACACTATATATTATAGTTATATATATTATGTATATTACCCTATACATTATAGTTATATATATACTATATATTACAATTATATTACATATTACACTATATATTACAGTTATATATTATATATTACACTATATATTATAGTTATAATTATATTATGTATATTACACTATACCTTATAGTTGTATATATATTATATATTACACTATATATTATAGTTATATTATCTATATTGTACTATACATTATAGTTGTATATATATTATATATTACACTATATATTATAGTTATAATTATATTATATATATTATATATTACACTATATATTATAGTTATAATTATATTATCTATATTATACTATACACTATAGTTATATATATTATGTATGTTACACTATATATTATAATTATATATATTATGTATATTACACTACATTATAGTTATATATATTTTATATATTACATTATACATTATTTTTATATATATTTTAAATATTACACTATATATTATAGTTTATATATATAACTATAATATATAGTTTATATATATAACTATAATATATAGTACTATTATTATATATAATATATATAATACATATATTTTTTACAACGTAATTTAATTTCTTCTTCCTACGCGAGCTGGACATCGACTCAAGACGAAAAAATACTAACTCGTAACAACTGTCTCATCGTTGATGACGTTGTTGTCACCGCTCCACAATTTCCCATCAGTTATTATCATTACGTTTCTCTTTCTACAACCGATACGAGTATAGGCGATACGATTTCCAATACGCTCTGCTCTCACGATCGGTGATATTTACGAAAGGGTGTGCAACTCGCGGGGTTACATCTTAATGTTATTGCAAAGTATTCTATTTTTTTTTTTTTTTCTTTTCTCGAGCCGATCAAGGACAGAATTAATAATAAAATAGCGGCAAAGTTCCTTAGCACAATTACGACGGTGGATTCACGAACGGCTCTGGTTATTAGACGGTGTGCAGCGTGCGGTAGTACAGTCGCGTAACTCGTTACGCCACCCCCTTCTCTCTCTCTCTCTCTCTCTCTCTCTCTCTCTCTCTCTCCCTAGCATTCTTTCTCTTTTTTTCTTCGCTCCTCCCGACGCGAAAGTAGGTATCTATCGGGACGACGGTCGTAAAGCCGCAGAAAATGACCTTTGGAACTACCGAGATTTTCCATCGTCTTCTGATCTTCTATATACCTATGCCAATCTTCTACGGCAATCGCGTTACGAAATGCCCTTCACAGGCCGCACGTCCAATTTCTCGAGGCACTTCGTGACACCGTGACTCGCCTCCTCGACCTAGTCTCTTCGATTCGACGAACAATTTAAACGGATGCGCCGATCTTTGAACCGACCGACCGACAAACCATTGCCATTTCGCCTTTCGTAGCGCTCCCCACCCTCTTTCCACCATTCTCGCGAATTCGCGCACGGCCACGAAAATGTACACGTAATGCCACCTAAGGTGTACATAAGGTGTCGTGTAACTGGTGGTGAAAAACTGAATAGAAAATATAGAAGCGAAGTTTTTTCATACGAAGCTTCGTTTTTTTTTTTTTTTTTTTTTTTTTTTTTTTTCGAGAAAAAAATGACTTTGAATCGGTTTGTCGATTCACGCGTTCACTTCGATCGAGATTTAACTCAATTTTTCGTCGTTATCTCCACTGATATTTGTAAACATTTCGAATGTTGGATACACGAGGGCACAGAATGTTCACTTTTCGCCGATTCTTTTTTCAGTTGAAAAATTCCACAACTTCGCTCTTCTTATGAAATTGTCTACGAACATTTTCCAACGTGTTACTTTGCAGTTTCAATGTTGCAAACGCTATGATAATTCTTCCTTTCAATTGTTCAACGTCCGCTATGATTTAACATTGACCCCATGAATAAAAATCCAGCGGTGACAGCTGGTCTTCGTACTCTTCGTTTAAAAAAATTTCTCACTTTCACGAGATGGTGCTCCATCTTGTTGGCAAATGAAAATTTCTTCGAATTTCAATAAATTCCTTCGTGTTCCAATAATTGAGTTGAATCGCGATCAAACGCGCGCTTACTCGACAAACATTCAAAGCGAAATTTCTCTCCAAAACGAAGCTTCGAGAAAATTATGAAAAAATGATTACTCCATATTTTTCACGTAGAATCACCCTGTATAATACGCGTCTCGCAGTGTTTCAGAAACACTCACCTCTCAGTCTTGCCTCGAATCCCAATCGTCGAATGCAAATCGTCGATTCTCGCCGGTGGCTATGAATTCCCCAAGTGGCGTTTAAAGCGCGAATCGACGTTTTACAATCGAAGACATAGTCCTCCCCTTGCGTAACTGGTAATTTTAGGAACGCTCTTTTACGACGCGTTTCAACTTTACGTAACTTGTTTTGCGCGCGCCGGCTCTCTCTCTCTCTCTCTCTCTCTCTCGGTGCCTTTAAAAATCGGTTCGTTCGAAACGATCTCGTCTCTAAGCAAGACAATCAGAATCACTTGGGGGGGAAAAAGAAGGTGCCGACCTCTTTCGCAACCTTGACTCGGTCGCCGCGCGATCAAGGTACACAACGCGCATCGGCTGTTCTCGCGTCTCGCGATCGGCGATCCTTAATTCGCAGTCGGCGGTTCCCGAGGCCGTCGCGGTGAAAGAAAGCGGCGGAAGCGGCTCTCGTTGTTCCACGGAACAACGACGACCCGCGTTCCCAACCTTCGATCGAGATCGATGGCTTGATCCCGCGGAAGCCTTCGAACGAAACGCGTACCGAAACGATGATTCCTTCGGATACCGCGCGATGAGATTTATAACGGCGGCGAAGGCCGAGCACAGCGTGTTTCCGAGATGAAAATTGACACTAACGGGAGCGGCGAACATTGTATGCATTATTTTTTTGAAAAATTGAAAGTCGCGCAAAAGTGTCTCGAAAGTCTCAGGACACTTTTCTGTTTCTCTACTTTTCATATTTAACACATCACGTTTGCACGTTATTTGGATTTGTAATTGAATTGAATTGAATTCAAGAGCGAGTTGTATATGTATACGAGTGAATTTTTATGGATCTGTGATACTTTTCTAGATAACTTTTCAAAAGTCCCAAGATCTTTGAGCGGAGGTTTTGCAACATGTGTTTCTTCATTGCGGGGTGAAAATCTCGACTTTTAATATCTAATATCACATTTGTGTGTATAATTTGTGATTTGTGATTTAATTTATTTGTGCATTTAACGCGAGTTATATCTATCATGTATGAATGAATTTTATGGATTTTTTACTGCACAGAATATCCACGTAACTTTCCAAAAGTCCCCAAGAGTTTTGCGCGAAGGTAGAGAGAAACATGTTTCTTCATTATAAGGGAAAATCGTGTGTCAAATTCTAAATTGGATCACAATCTTCACTCGCATTAATTAAATTATCGCTTAGCATGAAATTATGGACTACATATATTGGTTATTAGTAACTGTATGGAGATAACATAAATATTCAATATTTATGAATATTTTACTTTGTTATCAGTTGACACAATTTGCGCTTAATTGGCAGATAAATTTCGAATTGTTACAAATGTAGGTATTAATTTTTATCTTTAATGCTCGCACTAGTTTCTTTTTTTTTCTTTTTTTAAATTAAAAATTAAATTGACTTCTCGCACAAAATTGAAGTATAGTTTCCGTTCCTGTTTTCAATTATTGCGCGATCGCTGAAGAAAGACACGTGCGTTTAGTTCCCATAATTCCCATTTTTATCTCAAAGTAACGAAAAAACAGACGTGGCCTAATTTAAGATACCTCGGATCAAATTAGAAAACCAGTTTTCCTTGATTGGGCCACGTTTTGCAATCAGCCACTTGGCGTTTCAATCTGTTTCGTTAGACATCTGTATTACCGTAATTACAATAATGTTGAAATGTTTCACCGTAAAACAACAATAACAACAACTTTCTCGGGCGCTACATTTATTTAATATAGTTTTATTATATATATATATGTTATATTAATATTAATATAATTTATATTATTATATTATATATAATCATATTAAAATTAATATGATTATTATTATATTATTTATATTGTATTATATTACATTATTATTATATTATTATATATAGTCATATTAATATTAATATAACTATTATNTATATTATTTATATTGTATTACATTACATTATTATTATATTATTATATATAGTCATATTAATATTAATATAATTTATATTATTATATTATATATAATCATATTAATATTAATATAATTATTATTATATTATTTATATTGTATTACATTACATTATTATTATATTATTATATATAGTCATATTAATATTAATATAATTTATATTATTATATTATATATAATCATATTAATATTAATATAATTATTATTATATTATTTATATTGTATTACATTACATTATTATTATATTATTATATATAGTCATATTAATATTAATATAATTTATATTACTGTATTATATATATATATATCATTATTAATATTAATATCAACACTAAACGTATACTAATATTATTTATTACATATTAATAATAAATTTTCGTCTGATGCACCTGAGAAATCCTCCGTTAACCCAACCATAATTCATACCTAATTCATATATACCTACTCAGCGCGCGCGAATTCGAATTCGAGTTGCACGGGGAAAAACTCGGTGGAATTCGGACTCGGGTGAAAATGGTCGATCGGATACGTTTCGAATGATCGACGATACGGAGAATTACAGTTTAAAAAAAAAAAAGAGAGAGAGAGAGAGAGAGAGAGAGAGAGAGAAAAGAAACAGAGACGTTAGAAGAGGAAATCGGTGCGGGATTTATCGGTGCGATTGCCGGAGAATCACGCGGTCGGCTCCACCGCGAGTAATAATCTTCGAGTGTTCTCTAATGCGAGTTGGAACCGGGCGGCCTCCAACAGCCTGAATTCGTCCCCCTTTCCCCTTTCTGCCGCCGTGGCCGCGGTTCCTCTCCACCCCTCCATTCGACAGGAGAGACGGCCATCTTGCTTAGACCGCGGCATGTGCACTGCCGAATGCCGCCATGCTAACGCGACAAAGAAACTTCTAACTCGAGTTGTCGTGGGTTGCCAGTATCGGGCAGAGGGGCTTTCCATCTCGTACGTGGCTCCGTTTGCCAACCACGCTCTCTCTCTCTCTCTCTCTCTGTCTCTCTTTCGTTCTTTTACACTCTCGTTCGTTTCTTTCTTTTTTTCACGTCGTCTCTTCCTTTCGTTCCGTTGGTTCGTTCCTCCGTACTCTCTGCGTACGCCGAGAGAGACGTCGACCACTTCAAGGACGACGATCGTGCCGATCGATCAAGCCGCTGGATCGCTGTGGTAACTCCAACCAAACGACGTCTCTCTCTCTCTCTCTCTTTCTCTCTGTCTGTCTGTCTCTCTGTTTCACTCGTGATCTCTCGCTTTTCCTTCTTTCTCCGTCTTCTCGCATCCGTCTCTCCCTGTCGCACCGCCGCGGAATCTTTGAAACCCCACGACGCGGTGACCGTCGTGGGACGCGCGTCGTTCGAGGCTTTTCTAATTTGCTTGTCAGAACGCGAGAAATCCATCTATCCAAGTTGATCAAAGAGCGAGCGAGGTTTGACGGTCGATTCGAACCCCGGGGAGGGGAGAGAGAGAGAGAGAGAGAGAAAAGAGGAGAAAAATTACGGCCGAGCCGGTCGCGTATATAACGAACGCGTAAGTTTTACGTAATTACACGGTGTGTGCCGCTGTAATTACGCGCAAACTAACCTTTTGCTCGTGCGTGCGCGACAGACAACAACGAGGTAATACGATTACGTCGGTATCTCTCAAGCGAATTTATTGAAATTATTATTGAGGTCGACGAGATTCGTAAATCTTCTTCTCGCAGATAAACGGGCACGAATCAGCCGTAATCAGGCGTCCACCGTGACGAGAGTAGAAGGTAGGGAAAACGAATATAAAAACTCGACGGGACAGTTTGTTCCGTTACTCTGTCTCAATCTAGTATCAAACTGGTGCATAGTTAGTCAGGAACGAAATTCGGCGATTTGTACAGGTTCTTGCGCTGGAACGACGTGCCATTTTTCTTTCCTTTTTTTTTTTTTTTTTTTTTGTCCCAAACTGCAACATTTTCTCAGTTTTAAGCATATAATGTAAAAATTTGCTTTGCTTGAATGCAACCCAGACAAAGAAAAAGATGAGTTTGTTACTTCTTGATAATTTCTATCCAGTGATATCGTATCGAACGAGTTCAAAAGTAAAAGAAAGCGACGAACTATTGTATACGGGTTCGGCCACTCGTTACGGTCCGCAATCAGTTGCCAGCGCAAGTGGTTAACCTCTAACGCACGTCGAGAATTTTTTGTCCCAAAATTGCAACATTTTAAATATATTTAAGTATCAGTTTTAAGTATATTTGAGTAATCTAACCCAAAATTGCAACATTTTAAGTATATTGAAGTATCAGTTTTAAGTATATTGAAGTATAACTCAGGAAAAACAAATAATAAATTTATTAATTCTCAATAGTTTCTATCCAGTGATATCGTACTGACGAGTTCAAAAGATAAAGAGAGCGACGAGTTATTGTAGACGGGTTTGGTCACTCGTTACGGTCCGCAATCAGTTGCCAGCGCAAGTGGTTAACCTCTAACGCACGTCGAGAACTTTTTGTCCCAAAATTGCAATATTTCCTCAGTTTTAGGTATATTTAAGTACAACCTAGGCAAAACAGATGATAAATTTATTACTTCTCAGTAATTTTTAATCAGTGGCATCGTACCGACGAGTTCAAAAGTAAAAGAAAGCGACGAACTATTGTATACGAGTTCGGTCACTCGTTAAGGTCCGCGAACCAGTTGCCAGGGCAAGAGGTTAAACCGAATAAGAATCGTGGTATTGCAGGTTTGGGTTAGGTTGGAGCAAGCAATAATTCCCTAAGAATTGTAAACTGTAAGATAAACTAACGTTACTTGTCAGTTAGTTGAATATTCGACCATTTACATTTATTGGAAGATATATCGTAGCAGTGAATATATTAATTTCTACGAATTATCTTTTCAAATTGAGAGCTTCGTTTCCCCCACAAATGACATTCTGACTATCCTAAACATCTCTAATTGTCAAAATGTCCTACAGTAGTGAACCCTTAGAGATTTCAACGACCTTCCGTCAAATATTAATTGCAAGCCTCGCTTTTACTACTTTCTACGTTTCTCCAGTGTACAGGTACGTTTCTGCGAAATTTCTAAACTGTACAAAATTAAAGCACCAATGCCATGAATCGACTGATAGCTCAAGCAGGTACCTAAAAAAATCATCAATTAACCAAACGACGCACCAGAAGAAGATCGAAGCTCAAAAAAAAAAAAAAAATTCTCGTCTCG